GTTTTAATATTTCTATTAAAAAATCATTATGAAAAAACAAATTAAATCATTAAGTTATGATCACCCCATCACTAGGTTCTGTACAAAATAACTAATTTGACCCCTATATGAGAATAGCTTAAACCAAAATAATACTCTAAATCAGAAACACGACAACGTGACGTTCCGAACTAAAACAAAAGTAGAATCTCAATTTCTCTTAAACAGTTTGGATCGAAACAATGCTTTTAACGCCAAAACAAAATTTGCAAAACCTGAATGTTGTTTTTCAGAATTGAAAGTTGAGTCTCAACAAACAAAGAGGAAAATCAAAGTAAATATTTTAGATCGAATCGGCTTTTCTAGAACTTTCTATACATTTGTTTATATAATATGAAAGTTAAAGGGATAGATGCGCCATTTTTTGACTAATCGTACCTTAGTCTGAAGAATGTTTTATTAGCTAAGCCAATCAGTAATAGTGTTCACATCTCGCCGTCGAAGTTTGAGCCTTCAGATCCATACGTGTCCAGAATTATTCGCGTTTGAAAGTCACAAAGACTAAACTTAAGACACTGCCATATAGAAAAGTCATCTATAGAAATAGGAAAACAAATTCTTCCTAGTTTAAGATATTATGGCAAGGGTTGTGAGAGCTCTCGTAGGCTACATTTCTTTACTTCTGAAGACTAGTTGTCTTGTCTTCCGCCATTAGAGTAAAAAAAAATCACATAACTCACAACACCATTTTCATTAGCTGAAAGATGTTGAAGCATGGAAGTTGAAAGAGGTTGAAGCATGTTAGTTGAAAGAGGTTGAAGCATGGAAGTTGAAAGAGGTTAAAGTATGTAAGTTGAAAGAGGTTGAAGCATGGAAGTTGAAAGAGGTCGGAGTATGGAAGTTGAAAGATGTTGAAGTATGGAAGTTGAAAGATGTTGATGTATGGAAGTTGAAAGATGTTGAAGCATGGAACTCGAAAGAAGTCGGAGCATGGAGGTTGAAAAAGGTCGGAGCATGGAAGTTGAAAGATATTGAAGCATGAAAGTTGAAAGAGGTTGCGGAATTCGTTTAGACAGGTAACCTGTAATCATACAACGGCAACCAAAAGAGGTGGAAAGAAGCTGATTGTAATTTAGCACTGCTTGGCCTTTGGGCTGCTTCTGAATGTGTTATAATATGGTATATTTAAAAGATTCCATTGGGCCTTAACCTCCAATATTATATATGCCACAAGATAGGATCTTCATTGTAACGGACAGTCTGAGTTTTTATGTCTGATTTGTGAAAACTATTCACCAAATGAGTATCTAACCAATACTTTTATTTTAGAACGCCAAACTTTGTTAAAAGGTTTATGTAAACATTTTAACGTTGCTATTTGATTTTGGTTGCTGTTTTAACACTAATATTTTAGAAAAATAAACGCCAAATTGTGGAGAACTATGATTACTACTTCTACGTCCTATTTTTCTGCACCATGTGGGCAAATGAAGCTGGTCTAATGTTCAATCAGACGTCTGTGGTTCCTGGTATGTTCCTATTTCGCCTTTTCCCATTTTACTTCTAATTCATTTCCAAATCAATCCCGTTTCGGCCCTTTTTGTGTATCGTCCTTGCTATTTTACTCATTTCCCATATCGACTCGCCACTTAACCATTTTGTTCCTTTCCTCTTCACCCCTTCTCGTTCCGAACCTTCAAACTTCAATACCCCCTTTTTTATTAGATAAAACAAAATACACTTCTTCTAGGATTTAAATTTGTAATTGCTTTTCTGTATTCACATTACCCTATTTATGTTAATTTGTTAATAATATGTTATTCACTTCTATTATTTAATTAATAACATTAACATTATAAAGACTATTTCATGTGTTTTTCCATCTTCTTCATTCTGTTTATCTAACAGTTTTTCTGTAATTTGTGTCAAAACCCGAGGCAAAAATGAGGAGGGACTAACTAGGAAGGGGCGAAGTAGAAATCAAGTGCAAAATGGGAAGAGGGCAAATTGGGAGAATGGTGGCAAATAAAAGGCAAAATGGGAAGGGGGTTAAACGATAAAGAGGCGACCCAGAAAGGGGTGAAATTGGAAAGAGCAAAATGGTAATAGAGTGGGGGAAAATTTAGGAGAGGTGAGTTGCTATTCCACTAAAACTGAACATTTTGTGACGTTGCAATAGCAAAACTCCTTTGGTGTAGTGACGTCATAAAATTGAAATCGATGCTAAAAGTGTCCCCGATACACATAAACAGTTAAAAAAAACTACTATTGTATATTTCTAATTAACTTACCTTATCCATTTTTGTTAAAACAAGTTTTACTAATGTGGAAATAATGTATATTTTATTCTCTGACAGATATTATAATAAATCACGCTATTCACGCATGATACATCAGAACATAGAATTATAATATATAAAACTATTTTTGATAGTTGTTAAATAGTCCAGTAGCCAGCTGGCTTCTAATAGAACTTAGTTAATCTTACAATGTTTGAAACATGTAAACGTAAAAAAATTCATTGATTTTTGAATGCTAGACTATAATAATCATTGCATGATCAGGTGAAAGTATAGGCCCATAGAAATTTGGCAGGCTATTGTAAAATAAGACCCATAAATTGAACTGAAAAATCGTAGCTGTAGATTTTGACAATAGATACCGGAAGGCAAATACCCGAAATTCTATCGTTCTATTCAAGTTATATTCTCCAACACGAAAAAGATTCAATAATGCAATCGATCAAGGATTCCGAAAGGGTTAAAAGAAAGAAAAAAGGTTGAAAACCCCCGTCCTATACTAATATCAAATCAGCTTCTGAATATTGCTTTTAGTCACGTATTATAGCTTGGTACATTACACCACATGCCACAACTATTGATAGTATTGTTTGAGTGCAAGGATCTAACACTTATGTCCTCTAAAATTGTTTCATTCCCACAATCAACTATTGACGAGACAATTAAATGACGAGTAATGTTTGAATACATTAATCTCATTACATTATTCAGTCCAATAGAAACTCACTTCCCCTACTCCTGCCCCTGAAAGTAATTTTGACAGTTGTCGGCTTATGTAGGGTCAGAAAAACTAGGCTGCGAAAAGTGAGGAAACCAGCAAACCATAGTAGTTCCGCCATACCATCATTATCGCCGTACAATCTTCGTAACAATAAATTCTACGTCAAAGGGTCACGTGATACTAACAAAAAGAAAGTACAAGCTGATGCTCAAAACTATTTAGTCATCGATCTGCGAATTTCGTAGTTTATATACGATAATCCCAAATTTTCGTAGTGTTCTTTTTCTGACACTAGACCAGACAACAACTTGCTGTCAAAATAGCTATCAGAAGCTGGAATAGTGTCAGCAAATTTCAATCTAAACCTTTCATTTGCACATGTAAGAATGTAGATAGCGGTTTAGGAATTACCAGTCGTTGAAACTCAAAACAAGACTTTAATCGGCGACAAAAGTCTCCGACCAAGATCGCTCCTGTGCCCGCACCTTCATATGATGTATCATATGATATATACTTTAATTTTAGCTCACTATCTTCATATCAATTTAGGACTGTTTTAAACAATGTTCCAATAATGTGTTTGAAAATAGTTGAAAATTGTCAAAAATATGTTATTGCTCACCTTCAAAGTAGAGCAAAATCAAGACTATTTGCTTTCACCAAGTTTTTTCTGACTGAACTATTATAGATAGGTAGGGATTTATAATAGAAAATAATAATATGTATTTATAACACAATTATTATACGTCTATAGTAGGTTTTGTTAAGTATTCCAAAAGATTTTATACAAACGACTATCAATGTAATACTATGGTAATGGTGAAAATATAAATTATATCATTTTATTATATCTTTGTCCATTGTTAATCTGTTTACGCCCATGTTACCATGTATATCAGCAATGCCTTGATTTCATCACTTCTTTAATAAACTCTTTACTTGGACTGGAGAACAATGAGCCCACTGAAAACAATAGACATGAAATGCTAAATGGTGTCAAGTTCTTCCATGCATATAAAGCTCCCAACTACGTTCTTTTCGTCGGTTTGCTGACGAGACGTGTGGTCCTTACGATGTAGGCTATAAGGCAAGCATAAGGCAATTATTCACAATAGTACCTACGGCGGCCATTCTCGATACGCCTGACAATAACCTCGTATGCAGCTGGAAGAAAATCTTATTAAATTGTTTGGCGGAAGTTACATCCGTGTTACAAAATATAGTTCTTCAGATGTTAGTTACATGGCATACATTTATTGTCATATGACCTAATATTTGAAAATAGTCCGATTCATCCGCCAGCTGCATACAGGAGTAGAGAGAATGTTCACCGTAGATAAAAACATTACGTAAGCCTTTTAACTTTATGCTTTTTGGTAGATGTAAGAAAACTTCTTTACGTTTTAGCAAAATAAACGCCTACTTGTGAGAAACATGTGTCTTGGTTATCCTGTAGGTTTCAACTATTGATATCGAGTCATTATGAGGCCAAACCCCCAAACTGCTTAATCAAAATTAGTACTTTCCGTTTTTAATTAACCCTTTGACCTTTCTGAAATCGTTGTACTATATAGAAAACTTCATTCTTGAAACTCTAACAGCCTTGTCGGTCAAAATAAAACACATTTCTTTCTGTCTTTTTGGTTGGCATCATCAAATTGATAATATCCAGTTTTAAGGTCAATTTCATTAAAGACTGTTGATCCTATTTATGTATCTGTGTAGTTTCTCTAAATATTAAACGTAATTAGACTTAATTAAGCGTAGTTCAACATAGTTATACATGATTTGGTCGTAGAGTACAAAATTTTTCAACGTGTTCAAAATATATCTACGGTGAGCTTCGGATTCATAGTCCCTACTGTGATCATTGTTTTAACGTAGACTTGACGGTAGTTGTACATACTTCGAACGTAGTTCACGCGTAGTTCAACGTAGTTAGACTCTCTGACTCTCTGATGTGCATCGATATCTTTGTCGGACTAAAATAAACAATTTTTAGGTTGAAAGATTTTATTTTGATTTTAAATCAATATTCTATGAATACAAGTCAATTTAAAATGGATACAGGTGTTTTTCTGGTTTTATTTGACTAGCTATTAAGAATAGAATCGCAGTGTGAATTGTCATTAAGATGCCCTCGCACCATACCGATTACTAGTTGCGAATAATGAAAGTGGTCATGAGTACCGAACGCAACTCACACCTGAGGTGCAAGAGAGTGGCGTTCGAAACGTATGACCGATATTCTTTTCGCAACCGTACGCAAATGGTAATCGCTATAAAGCGAGGGACCCTTAAGTTTACAAATGTTTATGTTTCTAAGGCTATCTGAATATACTGAATGATTGTTATATGATTCAAACTTCTTCAAGTTCTATCGATAATTTACAAAGGTGTAGTGATATCAGCAACAGCTTCTTCCTCTTCAGTTTCATCTCCTACTTTAGGGGCAGTTGCCGGCTTATCCTCTTCAGTCATGGCCATACCGCCATACATACCGTTGCCCATACCGGGATACATACCGTTGTTCATACCAGGGTACATACCGTTGTTCATACCAGGGTACATACCGTTATTCATGCCTGGGTACATACCGTTGTTCATACCCGGGTACATACCCCCCATATTGGCTGAAATGAAAACAAATTGGCTTTTAAAGGGGCTCAGATCGAACGGTGTTTCACAGCACCAAATAAACTAGATGGTTGCATATCGAAAAAATTCCACCTGTGATTTCTAAGCTAATGAAAGGGAGGTAATTTAAGAATTAACTTACACATGACACATCTGGGATAACCACCTTGGTAAGAACACATCTGACCAGCTTGACAGTAAGTAGTCTAAAAATAGTAACAGGTTTACAATACTCAAAATAGGGTGCCACTCATCTGTTTGACATTCCTCAACTTTCTAATAGACTTTTCCACACATGCATTCTTTCTATCAATATGAAACTGTATATGTATGATTGGAAGAGCTCAATTGTAACTTTATGGATGTTTTTTTGTTTCTTATTTACTTAGTTTCAGCCTTGGATTTATATAAGACTAGCTGTCACCCAAAAGTATACGAACGACAAGTCTCAAAATATCATTGCATATTTCAAAGCTCACTTGTACCGAGGTACCAAAATTTGAAGAATCGTGCCTTTCTGTAATATTCACTAAAGAAGTAGGTTCTCGCAATTTTCTTTATAGATATACCCATACTTAGATATATAATTTTGGTTGAATGCTGAAAAGGATACCACCAGTTAGAATTGACATAGAATTTATAGTCTCAAACTTGGTCAACAAGTGTATATATTCATCAGTTAGACTTACCAGGAGTCATGGCGATGTATCCATTAAACTAAATAATTTAATTCTAAGCATGTTTCAAAATTACTAAGTTTAGCAAATTATTACTTAGTTTTGTGGATTTATTAAATGAAAGAGGGATTCTTTTGTATAGTAATAACACCAGGTAAGCCCACTGATGAGCAAAGACTCATTTCAACCAAGTTAAAAATTTCATTTTTTTTTTGGTCATTCTGAGAGGTAGTATACCTTTAACAACAATTTTCAGTAGAAATTAAGGAAACTAGACACTTACTCCACACATCTGCATACCGACCATTGACTGTTTCTCCTGACAATAAACAGCTACGACGACCTTCAAAAAAAATGAAATGAAGTTTTACATCCTATTATTCTACTTCAGACCGAGTTAATGAAAATATAAAACCTCATGCAGTGATAAATGAGCCAGGGTCAGCATTAACCGTTTTGACTTTTAACTGGTTTATTGTCCCATCGAATGACTGAACGCTTTTTCCATGTCAGTCCCCCTTCCCTTCGCCACTTTTAGGGGAAACAAAATCATATGTGAAGGTGACTGGTTGTTCAAATTTTGAAAATAAATACTACTTACACAGGCAACAAGAAGAGCAATTTTCATCATCATATTGGAAGATAGTAGTGGTAGACTGGTAGTTGTGGTGGTGGACTAGAATGAATCTGTACTGAATGATGATGATCCTGGTCTGTATTTATACCACTTCTCTCCTAGATTACAGCCTGATACACGTCCTTATCACATCTTCTACCCTTCAGATTATTAATAGATTGAACCAATATTAAATTCGGAAATTAATCAGTATCCCTAGTTTGAAATGAGTAATCAGAGTATAGAGTGGTGTCAGGTGTTCCTAAAGAGTTACCAAACTTTGCTTCTTCCCTTCAGATTATTTAAAGATTAGTCCTGTATATGAATGTGGTGTCATAGGTGTTTCTAAAGAGTTGTCAAAGTTTGCGTCTCTCAACCTAAAAGAGCATAATCATATATTATAGTATTCTGGAACGCTTCTATCCTGTCTGGTTCAAAATTGAATATCAGGTCTGGTATCTCAACCAAAATCATGAATTGCTAGAAGAAGTCGGTTCCCCAGTCGTTACAAAATGTTTATTTATAAGCAAAGTACTGTTTACCCCAAAAGTAAAATTATAATATTTATCTTCACAGTGCCAAGATATTACGAACTTAGTCTTATACCTTGACAGCAATATCCATCTTTTATGTATCTCAGAAGTTTGTAACGGCTGCGATGTCACTGGATTGTACGCTGGAGAATACAGCCAATCATAACACCCAGATTCACGCGCGGCCAAATTATTTTCAGTCTTTCTGTCGAGGACTATAATGGACTGTATTCATAGTATACAATCCATTCAGATTGCTGTTTAGTGCATTTACAAGCTTCCGCCATAAAAGAAAGGGTGACACTGTGAAGATGGGGGTTCTGTCTCTTATTATCTCTGGCTTGGATTGAGGTCATAACATTATAATGTCATTTCATGAGACTTCCATTTTCCTCCGAAAGTGTCGATGAATAGTTCTCTACAACCAGAACCGGAATATCCATACCTAGATATTGCTGGTTTAAAATCCCACTGTCCAGCTATATAAATATTTATCTTCTGAGTTAAAATTCAACTGTAGTGACAGTGATTGGTTATAATTGTTCCAATCATGCGGCACAATATGAACCTTACAGTCACGGTTTGTTCGGAATTACTCGTAACCAACTCGTAACAAATCGGCTACTTTTGTTAAATTTTTGGAGATGTTTTGGAATGTTATTGTTTATCTGCTTCCAAAATTCTGATGGAAAAATGTCTCAAGACCGTACCGTATGAGCTAAAATGTTGTACTAGTCTTCCAAGCTGCGTGAAAGTAAACATGTGCACTATTGTTCACGGAAAGTCGCTATTGCCTCGATCAACAAGGTTACAGCTTAGCTTTTAAATAGTTGTAGCCTTAACAACCCAGACTGAAATCTGCAGATAATTGGCCATTTCTTTATCTTCTATTACATAGCACACATTTTTGATAACCTTTAAAGTAAATTCTCGATGAACCGTGTGTCGTTCTCTAGTATCCCTGAAGATATCTTTTGCCATGAAGTAAAGACTTCGACCTTTCAGAGAGTTTACGAGCAAAAAAATGAACGCGTTACGAAAAACAAAGAAAAATAAACAAACTAAGTCCTACTAACGATGCAAAACGCCAAAAAAAAAAAAAAAAAAAAAAAAATCAGAAATCCAAACAACATATTGAAGAAATATTGGTCGCAGTTTATGAACTTTTCACACGAGGAAGTATATCATAATCGACTAAGTCTTTCAAAATGAAAAGTGGTATAATATACGACCTTTATAATAATGACAATTTTTCATATTGCCCCTTTAACGGAACATGAACCTACAGCGCCTAATTTTGCACCGCGATACTACCCAAACTTTCCTTGTATAATTTTCCCTAACGAGGTCTCTTTGAACCTATCCAAGGGAGCTAACTATACTTTTGTAGGAAATAAACAATTGAATGTCTTTTGACTACATTCATTCAATAATCAACAAATTATATATTTTTGTACATGAATTAAAAACAGTGACTAATTAAGGATTATAGACAAGATTTTAATTAATATATAATACACTAAGGTCATCGAAAGTTCACAACACGGAGCACGTTGAGTTGGGTAATGTTCTGTGATTTGTTCTATAATGATTGAGATATGAATTGAACCAGATAAAAATTATCTGAGGAAAATCAAAAACAGTAAGTAGAATTGTATTTATCTTCAACTATAAAATTTTACATGCCAATAAAGCGCTGAACCTTCGGCTTAGACCATAACATTATGCCCATGACCGCGGTAAACCGTTACCATCGTAGTGACGAAAGCGATTGATAATAACGATTATCAAATAAGAATATCGTGCACTCATCGCTCTGATTTTGATTGTAAAGCAATTGTGTTGTATAGGAACTATTTAGCAAATGTCGATGTAAGTTAGCATTGGAAAGAGTGGTCACATAAAGTAAAATCTTCAATGAACACAATTGTTTTTATTAAATCTACGAATTGGACTTTGGACTTCATCCATGTGGTTGAATGAATTATTTTGTTTACCTTTGACTTTGGCCTATTTTGTGAATGTGGGTTTATTCAATGCGTGAATGAGAATTATGGCATAGAAATAACATCACAAACTGCTGTATAGAGGTAGTCTAGTGTGTGGAACAATATAATGTAATAATTGTTATAACATGTTGTTTCTCTGTCTCTATATTGATCTAGTCCATATTAATGTTGGGGCTCTATAAAGGTGAAACAGAATGCGATATGATGTCAGATAAAAAGTGTGGAATATGTCCAGTTTGAAAGGGACAGATGACCAATCATACCTTAATCTCAGAAACGGGATTTTTTTGGCTAAGCTAATGTGTAATATTGTTCACAGGTCATCTCGAAAATCCATATGTGTCCTGAATTATCCATGTTTGAAAGTTAAAAAAGACGAGTCGTCTTTTCTTGAGACACGGCCTTATTATAGAAATAGGAAAAGAAATTCCTAGTTTGAAGTTTATTTGAAGGAATTATGCGATATTTGTACATTGCTAGTACTTCTTAAGACTAATTAGATATATTCATGACTTATATCAATCCCTAAAATGGCATTAAACTTCAACCTCTTAATGCAAGCTCTTTATGTGAGAAACTCGGTTGAATTAGAAATTTACTTATAGGCTACTCAGTGGTGTATTTTGGTGGTGGGCCTTTGGGCCATTGGGCCCCACCTTACCCCCAAGGCCTGTGATAGATGTTATATAAACTGAAAATTGAGCCCTCTAAACGCTTAAAATTCCTCTCAGATCCATCAGTGCCCGCGACAGGAAGATTAAACAATTTGGTTGCGCGTGTAATCGAGGGCTATGATTGGCTGTAATCGGTGGCTTACAATCCAATCAAATCGACGTATTTACAAACTTCCGTAATACACGAAAGGTTATTACTATTGCAGTCATTATATTAAATGCAGTTTGTAATAGCTTAGCATTATGAAGATGTCATCTCTTTAACACCCATGATATACCATTGCAAAGCTGGCCTATAACAATATTAGATTATTGTATACATAATGATATTATCACATTAATTTGACACCATTTCATAAATTGTAGTGAACCACATAGATTTTCTATATACTAAGTATATAAAATATCGTTATACTATACGGTTTTAGGTGTCAAATTTGTTGGTTTTACAATATTCTGGGAAAAAACAATCAAATTTATCCGCAAAAATGTACACTTCATATTGCTATGATTTTGAAGTAATACAATGTATTTTCAAAGTTGTGTTTTTCTTTACTAAAACTGCAATTTATGTTTCGCCCTGTATATGGAGAAAAGCTAGCACGATAAGTGGGGGTGGGGGAATGGCGTCCAATCAGGGGTGCAGTTTAGGTACCCCCTCCCCCCCGGACAACTCTGTGAATTGTTACGCATTACAGTGGTGCTCTCTAGAGAGGTATAGCTGTCTTCATTGATGTCGAGGACGCTCATTGGAAGCCTGGGCGCTCATTTTCCGAAGCCTGGGGATCCCCTCTGGAAAACGCAAATTCCTGACATTTCCCAGCGAATTTAAGGCTCAAGATTATTTATATAGGGTCGTCCTCATTCATTACGAAGTTTTTACTCTTCTATGCAAAGTTTTTATGAACATTCAGTTGGCATTAAATCGTATAATAGAGACAAAGGGAATGTTATATTGTGTCAGAGATAGGTAGATTGAGATACGAATGTTTCTCGAGAAATCAGGCAAGTGCCATGTGCCATTCACACCTAGCACCAGTATAGCTATCATGGCGGATTGTAACCACATAGAAACTTTGTCTTCATCGGTAAGATATTCAGATTTTAAGCATGTTAGCGATACGATTGGTGCAACACTATATTATAAAAGTTGAAAAAAATCAGGCGGAGATTAAAACGAAAGAAAATTGAGCAACTTTCTGATGGGCATCTAATAACAGAAAAACTTAGCATGAATTTTTATATTTTCAAAGATATCATTCTACATTATAGTACATAGCAGATAGCAGATTATCTTCCATGAAACCAAAATACATGTACTTGCTATGTGAATGATTTTTTTCTGGAATTGCAGGAAACACAAATATATGACTGAAAAATATGACAGGTTCACATAAGGGCTAATTGCGTAGTTATAGGGTGTGGGTCATTGGACCACGTCCTCCTCCCTTTCAATCTTGTGAAATGACTTATTTTGAAGTGAAATTAAATGCTCAAAATTCATCTTAGGCCATTTAAATTCAGACAGCCCCTGGACCCTTGAAAGAACCCTTAGAGTCTCCCCTTGGAAGGATGCCTCTCATTTTCGGCCCCAACTCAGGTGTTTTCTAGATACGATAAGAAAAAATCACTACATAAGATAAGGAAAATTCACCAATGATGTTCCTCATTTCCAATTGGTCTTTTCAATTCAATCTGGAAAGTGCTTAAGAAAGTTTATTTTTCTTTCCCCAAAAAGGATGTATTTCATGTTTGTGGGAGCTAATCGCGTTAGCCTATTTTATTTTAGATTACTTTACGTACGACTGACTGGTATGAAGATTATTCTTGTCTCGAAGCTCACGAGGGAGCCTTTAATGTTTAAAGGGATTGTAAAGAGGTTTTTTCTGACATTTTAGGTGTATCGGGGTCACCTTTGATGTGTCCCAATTAGAAGTCAAATATGTCCCCGATACACATAATTAGGCTAGAAAACCTCTTTATAATCCCTTTAATGTCCAATGCACTCTAATTTTAGATGGAGAAAGATGAGACAGAACTACAAACATTTATAAAGAATGGGAATGTTGAACCTGTTAAAATAGTTGATGGTGCTACTGTTGAAGACGATGATGATGAACCTAAACGAGATCAATGGATGAGAAAGTTGGATTTTGTACTTTCTTTAATTGGTTATGCTGTCGGTGTGGGCAACTTATGGAGATTTCCTTATTTATGTCTTCGAAATGGTGGAGGTAATTTTGATGTTTATTCCATTTGTATTACGAATGTCATGTTTCAGTGTAAATATTTCCAAATACCGGTTTTCTTATTTTGACGTAAATGCCTTCGAATGCTCTATAAGGTTCAAAATTTGAGAATATATAGCCCAGTGCTGTACCGTTTTCACATTTTCACAGGACCAAATCTATGAAACGTTAGCTATTATTTGAATACATATATTAAATGTATGGCGATATCTGCTTCGATGAATCATATAAGCATGGTTTGGACAATTAAGATAAAACTCGACTAGCGTTAAATTCAATTCTGAATTTTGATTTAAGTAATTCGTTACTAGATTTTACTGTGTACATTGTTTTCGTCCAGTGTTTATTTGGGTATGTTAACCTTGACATTGTTTATTTTTGACATCTGGTAGAAATTGTGTAATTCCAGATTTTTAAGTACTAAATGTAGGCTACATATACTTTCAATTTTGTCCCTGGTTATGTTATTTATTTTATGGTATTGTCAAGAGGTTTTCTTAATTGTTTATGTGTATCGGGGACACTGATAGCATCAATTTGCACCATTCCAATTTTCAGTCAGACCTCTGTGGTTCCTAAAACGTGTTTTAATGTGTTACTAATCGCGAAGGGCCTTAAGTTTTAAAGCATTTTTCCATTTTAAATGTGTAGCGCGTGTTAGCTTTATAATAAATGAAATTCCGACTAAAGCCTTTCTCCCTGTGTTCAACAACATATTGGTTTTTGTTTTTCCAATAATGTCGACAGCAATCCTTGTTTTTGTATTTTACAAAGCCAGTCCAAATTCAAAAGAAAAATGTTCACACCTCTATTTCAAACTCTTAATTATGATTAAGATGAAAAAAATTATTTCAACATCTGCAGCATGACCATCAAAACCACCAAAAACATTTTTTACCAGCCAATTGACCTTGCATGAAGATTGTTAACCATAAACAATAACTTTCCTGTAATATTCTGTTTCAATGTTGAATGACTGTGGTAGTTGCCAACAGAAATTAAATGTTCGAGTCATTATAAACTCATGGGTGGGCACAATAAGATGAAGAACACCACAAAGTGTACTATCGAAGGAAATTTCTTTTGCGAGGAATGCAGTATAACCATGCTGTTTTCTATATCTGTTAGTGGCATTAGCATACTGTTTATCAATTTCAAACTGTTTAGGGGTCGTTAATGAACGTGCACAGTCTGTAGCACACCGTGCCTCGGTTTATTGTCTCATCCAACCAACTAGACAATATTTCCTTGTCTACCGTTCTCTTGACTGGCATAATAGATTACAATCTACATAAAATTAGATTACAATTTCGTGTTTTTTGTTATTTCCATTGTAATCTAACATGTTTCTACCAAAGGCCAGTTCTAATTACTTAATGTTTTACACTAATCAAAGTGTGAAAGATCGATATTACAATTACCTCTTTGGATTTCAGATCTCACTATTACACAATTCCTTATCATATCAAGAAACGGGTTCTACATTACACGCTTTGATTAGCGTAAAACAACGTCATTAGAACGGGTCTTTGGTAGAAAACTTGCTAGATTATGGAGAATAAAAATATACGAAATAGTAATGTGATTTGATTTAGATTGGGTAAATCCGAGTTGAAAACAGATATAAATTCCACTGTTTGTTAACTATTGTGTTACGTGATAATTGTGTAAACAAATTTGTGTGCTAAGTAGCAAACAATTTGAAAGTATGATGACTTATTACATATCTATCTCTTACATCATTGTTAACTTCAAGTAAACAATGTATTTTAGTAATCAAAACCCAGAGACCAAAATAAACACGAATTTCTCCCAAATAATGGAAATATGTATATCAAGATTAATAGAAAAAAACAATATACCTTTAAAGTACTAACATTGGTATTTTCTGAGCAGCAAATGTTCTTCGTTGATGCAGTCAAATATGAATGGAAATATTGTTCCTATGTGTAAATACCACTGAGACAAGTCTAAAACACATTTTGTTCATGAAGGAAAAGGAATTGTTACACTTTTGTAGACCTCGGTGCGTGGGTCTTAAAGTCCATAGTTCACCATTTTTTCGGGATTCTAAGGCTCAAATGAGCTGTGAACGCTATAGTGATTAGCCTAGTCGTGAACCTTTAGTGATCAGCCCAGCCGTGAACACTATAGTTATTAGCCTAGTCGTGAACCCTTTAGTGATTAGCCCAGCCGTGAACACTATAGTGATTAGCCTAGGTAAAATATCCCCGTTTCACTGACCAATGTACTATTGCTCAAACGAATGACGATTCTGTACCTTTAAGGTCAAGACGTCGGATTCTTTTGAATAATTAGTAATCGACTGATTGAATCTTAATCAGATTGTCCTGTAACTTTATAAATTTGAAAGTATTTTAAACCTTTTACTTTAAGGTTTACTTAAAGATAGGTTCCTTTATTTCCGTTGATGAAAATGAAAATGCTAATAATTATATGAATAAGTAGTGGTGTTCTAATGACATGGAGAAATACCAAATTGTCTCACCCGCCATAATTAATTCATAATTAGCAAAAATAGGAGAGAATTACCAGCAGAATTCCATTGAGTGACCGATCAAGAAAGGCCAAAAAGTATTTGTTTTGTTTATCCAGACATGGACATCAATTATAGGTTTAAACTCTTAACTAAATGCAATAAGAACATGATAATTCATCAGAAAAACCAATTAATCAAATAGTTTGCTGAATTTGACACTGAAAAAAAAAGGAAACCCATCTTTAAACTGGCTAGTGAGACTGATTTCCATATTTCATTTCCGTTTTTTCATTTTTTTCCAGGTGCCTTTCTCATTCCATTCTTTTTCTTCCTATTGTTATGTGGTATACCATTGTTTTACTTAGAAGTTTGTTTAGGACAGTTCTCTGGAATCAGTTCACTCTTTGTCTTTAAATTATGCCCTTTGTTTAAAGGTAAGTGTGCTACGCCTGTGCTACAAGTTCATATTTTTTAGGTTTATGAATCTGTGTTAAGAAATTGGTAAAAGTACAACTGCTATTCTGTAATGATTTACAATTGCACAATAAATATGCATTCACATTGCCCTCGTGGGTTCAACTCTATCTATAAAATGTACAAAAAAAATGTGGAAGCTTGTTTTTTTTTTTACAGGAATAGGATATGGAATGGTTATAGTTTCCGGAATGGCTACAATATATTATAATGGTGTCCTCACCTGGGTTATATATTATTTGATAAATTCATTTGATGAAGAGTTACCATGGCAACGATGTGGACATTGGTGGAACACTGCCACCTGTCGGGATAATTTTGCACTGAGTGAAAACTCTAGTTTCTACGGAAATGGAACTTTCTACGGCAATTATTCTGATATTTACGGAAATGTCACAGATTTTTACCTCAACAACACAACACCTAATCTCTTTCTAAACCAAACTGGTAAAACAGCTTCTGAAGAATTCTGGCAGTAAGTTGACAAATTCGAACGATATTAGGCTACTAGATTTTATCCAAAACTTCGTATATCACACGTTATTGTCGCTCCCGTTCGTTCGAATTTTCATTTCAAGCTGTGTACGCGAGTCGGTCAAAATCAAACATTAGTTAGGCCAACATAATTAATAATTTTTGGACTTAGAAAACCATATATCATAGTGAAGCTTATTGTGTTTCTGCTGCATTTCAAACATCAATAGTCGTCCATAGAGAGATCTTCTCCGTTGTCCTTCACATATTGATGATATATCAAAAGAAATCCACTTTCGCGGTCTTTTGATTGGACGTTTCTGGGTTATTACCCCTTGATCTAGGAAAGCTATGGTTTGTGAACTATCGTTTGTGTGATGTATGCACATGATAAATGGTGGTATTAGGCTGATTGATTTTAATATGGACATTTTAAAACAGATCAATATATTCACTAAAATTGGGCGATTTATGACGTCACGATCAAAAAAGCTGTTAATGATATACACATCATACTTGGCGATAGTGACGTCATAAAACGCTCTGACTGAATAATAATTTTTCCCCGATACACATAAATAGTTTAGGAAACCCTTTTTTAATCCCTTTAAGTCTACGTTAAGTCGTTACCTTTATTCTTTTTCTTTTCAGATACAACGTTTTAAGAAAATCAGAAGGTTTAGAAAATCTAGGATCTATACAAACACATAATGCCTTATGTCTATTAGCCGCTTGGATTCTGGTTTTTCTTTGTTTGATAAGAGGAGTCAAATCTCTCGGATATGTAAGTATATAAAACCGGGAAATACTTTAGTTATAATTAGTTTACCCAAAGGTAATATTAGCAAATTGGGAATCCCAGAACGTGATGCCAAGTTCGATAATCAACAACTATAGTACAACCATGTAAGTCGTTTCATCTGAGATGCAGCGCACATTTCACCCAAGACCATAAGATGTATAGTTCTATAGTATATGTATAGTACCAGAGGTACATATTTCCTATTGGCAGACGACCAGATAGAGATTTAAAGTATGTCATAGGAAAACTGGACTGCCGGCTTCAATTTCTCATGATGGCCGTGATTCCAATTCATATCTCAAGGCCCATTTTTGTAAATTTCAGGTTGTTTATGTAACAGCTTTATTACCATATTTTCTATTAACATTATTTTTAATACGTGGTTGTATGTTACCTGGTGCTTTAGATGGTATCAAATTCTATGTCACTCCAGATTTCTCCAAATTGAACAATTTTAGTGTAAGTTATTTTTGTTATCGTTTGCAATAATGTTATCGTCATTGAATCTGTGTCCCAATCTGAAACATTTGTGCCACCTGACGATTCCCTAGAGTGTCCGAGCTTGTAGCTATCAAGATATTTTTATGATGTCACGGGATATGATCAACTATTGGCATGCAATTGAAGACTTCCTGAGTGTAAAGCATTGGACAAAGTACAAAAAAATCAAGATATGTTACTTGAGAAGTGATCATTTACATATTTAAATTCGGCGGCCATCTTGAAAATCTAAGATGGCTACCAAAAATAATTTGTGTTTTCATGAGCTTTTGAAAATCTTAAATGCTACCTATATTTCCTGACAGTTTGGTACTTGATATACTTTGGTACGTGATATACTTTGGTACTTAATATACTTTGGTACTTAATATACTTTAGAAATTAATATACTTTGGTACTTGATATACTTTGGTACTTAATATACTTTGGTACGTGATATACTTTGGTACTTAATGTACTTTGGTACTTAATATACTTTTGTACTTAATGTACTTTGGTACTTAATATACTTTGGTACTTAATATACTTTGGTACTTATTAGACTTTAGTAATTGATATACTTTAGTAATTAATATACTTTGCTACTAAATATACTTTAGTAATTAATATACTTTGAGTTGCAACAACTGGCACGGGCACATGAGGCGATACAAATCTCAAGTCTGTCGTTTTCCACCTTGTCATTAATCACGTGCGGAGCATGCAATTGAAAGGAAAATGAATCTGATTGGATGATGATGTTCTGTCTTGCAGACGATAAGACTATCGAAGACAATTCTCAAACGGGAATGATGTTATATGATGAAACGATAATCTTGTCGTGGAAACACGAGATTTTACTCAAGTTTCGATTCGGCGACAAAAATCTCCGACCAAGACCGTTCGTATGCCCGCATATAACCAAATATTATTATCAGCTAAAGTAAAAAAAAAGCTTCACTGATTCATTTGGAAGAAGGATGTGGTCAACTCCAAGTATATACTATGTATTTGATTGCCCCCAAACTATAAGTTTCAACACAGGCATTAATATTCAGTGTAACATTATGTAACCGTAATTAATATAATATTATAGGTATGGACTGAGGCGTGTCTCCAGGTATTTTTCTCACTCGGACCAGCCTGGGGTGGTTTAATAACCATGTCAAGTTTTAATAAATTTCATCATAATTGTTTGAGGTAATTAATCAGCCAGTTATTATTATTGTGAACTGATTTACATGGTAAATGTCATAGTCTATAGTGAAAAAAGTTCGAAAAGCGGACCATTAGACAAAATATTAGACATCAAAAATACCCATTGCATTGGTATAAATGGAAAATCTTTCAATGTTAAAGGGACAGGTGACCCATCGAAATTTGAGCCTTCAAATCCATGTGTGTCCAGAATTATTCGCGTTTGAATGTGAAAAAGACGAGTCGTCTTTTTAACTTTCTCTGTCATATATTGAAAAGACATATAGGAAATAGTAAGTGAAACTCTTACTTTCAAGATGTTTTGAAGGAATTATGCGATTTTCGTACATTTCTAGTATTTCTGAAGACTATTTACATATATTCAAGACCAAAATTAACCCCCGAAAATTGCCTACCTGTCCGTTTAATTAAAGAATTTTTGAATACTCCTGCATTGTATTATCAGCTAACATCAGTCACGAATAATACAAGAGATCCAGCATCTTACAATATCCCAACCGACATTCCTCTGTCACTACAAGAAGTTGTTTATCTCAGAAAATTGAGAAAATTGTTTCTCACGAATCGGAATATTAGTTAAATAATTCAAATATAAATTTGATCTTGAAAATCCACCGCCTTGTTTTGATCAGATCACCACAATATAAATTTGCCCTGATGTGAAAGTAAATATACAATAATATCACTCACTATTATAGTGTCTGCGTTTTACCAACTTGTTGATAAGGCAAGGGATAAGCATTATTTACAGAGATACGCGGATAGATATTTTTCCAGATATACTGGAAAGTAACAAGGGTTGCAACATTTTTATAATACATGCTTGCGCATTATATTCGCAATTATACAGTACCCTACGATGACTACTTAAAAGTTTATTGAATAATAAAAAAGTATTATCAATGACTGCTTATTTGTTATATTCTTATCAATTTCTAGAGATGCAGTCATAGCTACATTAGCTGATGGTTTAACTAGTTTCTATGGAGGATTTGTTATTTTTGCTGTATTAGGTTTTATGGCTAAAGAAGCCGGTGTCGATGTTTCCAAAGTGGCTACAGAAGGTACGCTTCATATTTTTTTCAAATATTTGCTTATGATATACTTAGCCATCCCCTCCCCCCCCCTCCACCTAAAAAAATTCACCATTAACAATCAATACACTTTCAAAAGTACTCTATTTGAAAACACAAGTACCAGAACAGTTTTAAAATCGCATGGTTCTTTCACAAATACCTCAAACTTAGAATTTAACTTTTTCTTTCTTTGATTTATGCTCTGTCGTAAATTTTGGGTACCCGAAAATTGATAAGGGTCTATAATAGAAAATATGATACGGTGCACGGATGAATTTTGATTTTCTATGAACCCTTCACATGTTATCTACACATGCATGTCCTGGATTTTATAATAATTATCGCATTGCTTTCATATGACTTGTTTACTTATGAAAAGTCAATTGGGTAGCTTTGAATTGTATATCGTTGGTCTATCATGAATGTCTTAGATATTCCTTTAATGTATTTGATGGAAGATGATGCGTATTTCTCTGTACTGATTAATTACTAGAATAGTCTTTTTCTACTCTAACTTTTTAGGTCCTGGACTAGCTCTAGTAGCTTACCCAGCAGCTATCACTAAATTACCAATACCTCAATTCTGGGCTGTTCTCTTCTTTTTAATGTTGTTAACTCTTGGATTAGATAGTCAGGTACACACAATCTCTTCTCTTTTTAACAAATTAACCTGAATACCACTTAACATCTTTGGAATTATTAGAGGAACTAACCTGGCCTTTGATAGCTATCTTTTACCGATAAAAACCATTTAAAAATAACCAACGATATTATGACGAGAACAAAAAGTGTGTCATAGAAGCATTAGACTAGTTTATCAACTGAATACACCTTTTGTTCGCGTCACAAAATTCCTGCGTTGGAGTAGGAAGAAATTTGATTGGCTGGCGGATTCATCAAATGGAGAATGTTCGAGTGGTCCGTCGTTAGACCCTACCTGAAGTGGCTTTATGAAAAATGAATAATAAAAAACGAAACGAAAGTTTGGTCTAATTTTAATGAAATATCGCCAGTTTTAGAAATATTAATTCTGAAAATTGAAGATCAGCAGAACAACTCTGGCTCGTTCACATCCACCAATAACAGCTATCATTACTTACTCCTCCAATGCATTGAGTACTGCGGACAGTTATTGTTTAACAAATGTCCAAGCAGCTGAAGCAATCCATTTCACATCTTCAAAATCGTCGACCTATTATGAACTATGCCTATACCTTGACTACAATAGGCACTGTTCTTATATCACGGAAGTTTGTGATTTGATTGGACTTTATGCCAGTGAATACAGCCAATCAAAGCCCTCGTAAGTAATTACAGTTTTTCTGACGCAGGTTGTATTCGCTGACGTACTTCAAATCAAATCGCTGCATTTCAGTTTTGTCAAGGTATAAGACAAAGTTCGTAATACTTTTACCTTGACCATTGTGAAGATGTCCACGTCACTGAAATAAATCTGTATATTATTATCATATGCGTTAGACCTTCTGTGCTTTCCAGAACCCTTTCTTTCTTTACCGGAATCGGTATTTACGTATTTATACGACTTGATATATTTTTGCATAATATTTTGGTTTAGAAAAGGTGTGTTTTTCCATTAAAGTAGGTTTGGGTGACAGGTCATGCTTTTAATCATTTGTGTGTTTTATTATTTATAGTTTGGTATGTTTGAAAGTTTAGTAAGTGGTGTAATTGATGCCTTCCCGAAACAATTAGCAAAACGACGAATGTGGGTTACTGCTGGTTTAGCTTCTATGTGTTATTTACTTGGTTTACCAATTGCATCAAACGTAAGTTATTAGTTTATTGTAAAAGGGACAGGTGCGCCATTTTTGGGCCTTGAATTTATGTAAATAATCTTCAGAAGTACTAGAAATGTACAAAAATCGTATATTCCCCTTCAAAAATACCTGAAACCTGAATTTCTAATTCTATTTATTTATATATATATATATATCTTTTCTATATACAAGTCTCAAGAAAAGACGAGTCGTCTTTTTAACTTTTAAATGCGGATAAAATCTTGACACACATGAATTTGAAGGCTCAAATTTTGAACACTGTTACTGATTACCTTAGATAAAAAAAGATCCCCATTTCTGAGACTAAAGTTTAATTTGTCAAGCGAATGGCAAATCTGTCCTAGGTCAGTTTAAACGCTGATGAAGTATCTATTTGTCATTACTCAGAAGCTAATATCGAAAACCGATTTCACTTTCGGATGAAAATGTTTTACGTGTTCATTTCAGGAAATAATTTTTAGTAACACATACACTGTATAACTCTGAATTAACTGGACTTTTGATGGAACAATGAGAATTATCACGAACAACGGAACTCTGTTTAAAGATATACTACCTCTCAGGATGACCAAAATATTGAGATTTTTAATATGGCCAAAATGAGTCTTTGTTTATCAGTGGACAATGGACAGTGTCAAGACTATACAACAGAATCTCTCTATAATCTAATAAATCCATAAAACTAGGTAATCATTCATTAAACTTCGTAATTTTCAAACTTGTTTAGAAGCTTGTTTCAATAATTATTTAGTTTAATGGATATATTGTCTTATATAGAGATTCTATTCTTTAGTCATGGTACCTGGTAAGTTCAACTGATGATTAATATATACACTTGTTGACCAAGTTTGAATTTTGAATTTTATGTCTATTATAAGAGGTAGTATACCTTAAGTCCTAATTTGTTAAAGGATTTTTTTTTGTAGGGTGGTATATATGTGTTTCAACTAATGGATTGGTTTGTAGCAGCATTTTGTGTTCTTATTATATCATTTATAGAATGTTTGGTTATTGGTTGGATTTATGGTAAGTCACAAATATCACCGTGGTTCACCCGAAACTAGGGGTACAAATAGGGAGCAGTCTGACTCAATGGGGGACAACTGTCGACGTTGAGTCCAAAATTCATAGTCACAGAGCTTTCATAGAGCTTTCTGAGATGGTTTTCTCCAAGAAACTTTTCAAAAAATTGAATTAATTTGGTGTATTCTGACACATATTTTTGAGCAAAAACGTATAATTATCATATATTTTACAATGGCGCCGCTACTGGGACCATGTTCGTTTTGCATTCTACAAATCACCTCATAATTGTCACCGAACCTGGTGTTCTAGGTATGCATTGCTGTCTTCCTCTACGGATACACTTGTTTACATTGATTGACAACAATATTTATTACAGGTGTAGAAAGATTTAGTAAAGATATTGAATTAATGATGGGAAGAAAACCTGGTATTGTTATTAAAACATGTTGGTGTTTTATTACTCCTGCTCTGTTATTGGTAAGTGAGACCTATGACATTTGATTTTAACACATGTGTCCATTTTTATAACTATAAAATGTTAACATGTAAATTTCAGGTTTGCTTAGGCTCAACTATATGTAACTATAAAATGTTAACATTTAAATTTCAGGTTTGTTTAGGTTCAACTATTATGTAACTATAAAATATTAACATGTAAATTTCAGGTTTGTTTAGGTTCAACTATTATGTAACTATAAAATGTTAACATGTAAATTTCAGGTTTGTTTAGGTTCAACTATATGTAACTATAAAATGTTAACATGTAAATTCCAGGTTTGTTTAGGTTCAACTATATGTAACTATAAAATGTTAACATGTAAATTTCAGGTTTGTTTAGGTTCAACTATTTAAACTATAAAATGTTAACATGTAAATTTCAGGTTTGTTTAGGTTCAACTATTTATAACTATAAAATGCCAACATATGATGGTTATGTGTATCCAGATTCAGCTAAAGTTCTAGGTTTTATATTATCTATTATACCCATAATACCAATACCTGTTTTTATGGTTTATGAACTTTATAAAGCAAACGGTTCACTTTTACAGGTTAGTACAGCTTTAAGATCAAATGATTGACAAGGGTACTTAGGGACCGATATAGTTGAGGTTGAATTATAATGATGTCAAAATTTTGCCTTCTATTATTCCCTATAGATTTTCAACTGTCAACGCGTCTTTCGCTTGCACACTAAATTATAGTTTAATATTTCCGACAACTTATATCTTCTTTACTTTCAACTTCAAGTTATTGTGAATAGAAGTTATGTTTTCAAGCATAAAACCCTGAAGAAGTCACGTTCTCAAGCTTAAAACCCTAAAGTAGTCACGTTCTCAAGCTTAAAACCCTAAAGAAGTCACGTGCTCAAGCATAAAACCATAAGGAAATCATGTACTCAAGCATTTAAAACCCTGAAGAAGTCTTGTTCTCAAGCATAAAACCCTGAAGAAGTCACGTTCTCAAGCTTAAAACTCTAAAGAAGTCACGTGCTCAAGCAAGCATAGAACCCTGAAGAAGTCACGTGCTCAAGCATAAAACCCTTAGGAAGCCATGTTCACAAGCATAAAACCCTAAAGAAGTCACGTGCTCAAGCATTAAAACCCCAAAAAAGTCATCTTCTCAAGCATAAAACCCTAAAGAAGTCATGTTCTCAAGTATACAACCCTAAATTCATTTTTCTAGGCTTTTTAGATGATTACTACCCGTGAGTGTATTATATTATTTTTCAGAGATTTAAACAAACTCTACGACCAGCGTCAGATTGGGGACCTTCATGTAAAGAATACCGACATGAATATTCATTAAAAGATCATCAATATGAATCACCATTTGTTAAAACATTTCACAGAATACGTCATTGTAGAAGATGATGACGTGCTACATTTATATTGAAATATATCAAACATTGTGTTAATGTTTCAATTGCAAGTACAATATTAGGATTTTGTAGGTAACTTGTATGAAACTAGATAGTCGCTCCTTCTAAGTAGCTAAAAATATATCTCATGTACATTGCGTTATCATCCCTTCTGCCCACTCTGCCCCCTTTGGCTCCACCACTGTTTGCCGCTGATATATTTATTGAAGGGACAGATTCGCCATGGTTTTGACCAATCATACTTTAATCTCAGATACTGGTATTTTTTTAGCTAAGCCAGTGAGTTATAGTGTTCACAGCTCACTGTCGAAATTTTAACCTTTAGAATTATCTGCGTTTGAATATTACAATGACGACACGTCTTTTCTTCAGACTCTGTCATAACATATACAGGAAGTGAAATTCCTAGAATTTTTTAAGGAATTATACCATTTTCGTGTCAAAAATGGCGAATCTGTCCCTTTAAATTATTATTCCTCAATGACATCCTTATGATGATAAAGATTTTTATATTTTCATCATATATTTGCCGCCGATACGAACCAAAGTTGTTGCTTTACCGATGCCACAAAATTATAAGAAATACATTGTAAATATTAATGTTCAGTTATTCAATAACAACAAAATTTTAATTGTCACCAAATAATATGTTAACAACGATCTCCAATCCACTTGTATAAAATAAAAAGCTATATTTTCAATGTTTCATCCATTCTTTCTGAAAAGATTTGCTTCAAATTTGTTGGTGAGTTTCTGAGGGTTTTCTCGTAATCCACGATCTGGAGAAATTCTAATGTATCACAAGTTTAGATTACTTAATATTACCAACCAGCGGTTACCAAGCAAGATAGCCCACTAAGCCAATGCATTTTCAGTATATCAAATACTGTGGCCTCACAGACCACTTTTAACAGTCAAAAGGGTCAAAGGTTGAAAGGTTTATAAGAGTTTGACTCGCTGATCAACAGTCTAAATGTTCATGATTCATCAGCAACATTTATGTCGTCGTAGCCTACAGTGTCCTATATAATTTAAAGTATCTATTAATATAATATTTCGCTCACATAATCCTTAGTTTTATTGATCGCGATACTAAAATGATGGTATTTGGTGCTAGATAACATTCGATATTTTGACGAGAATTGTAATAATTCCTGCTATATATAACACTATTCCAATAGCTATGGCAATTTGACTCATCATCTTAGAGTTGTCGGAGGCTTTTACGGAACCATTCAAGTCTCTCTTCTTGTACAATTCTCGAGCCTGAAAAATTAAATGACCCATATCAGATACACAGATGTCTGCGAATCTTGAATAAAAAAAATCTGTTAATAACGCCATGAAGCATTTTATGTGAAGAATGAAAGTAAAGCCTTAGAATTATTATGTAACATACTATCCTAGTCATCGCCCCTTAAATCGCTCTTCAAAGAAAGGTAAATAAGGTCTCTTTTTGGCATGAAAAACAGCACTGCAACATTAATAGCGCAATTTTGCTAACGTGATGAAGTGAATTTATTGTAGGTCAGAAATTTGTGTAATTTCAATCTGGAGTTACTTCCTAAAAAAGGCGTTGGGCATATTTGCTGTACTGGTCGAAATAGCTAGATTTAAATTTCACATTTCAATTGCGTTTTGTTTACTTGAGAGACGCTCAATTTCACGAGCTAGAAATTTTCAAAACCCTTGTGAATTTCAAGTAAAGGTCATTTTCGTAAAGCTAGGGTCTACATTTATTTTATTTTCTCACAGATAAAATTTCACATTGACATCCAAGGTAGGTATACTTTTACTTACTTTTGTAGCGTAGTAAACTGAAAAACATCCCAAAGGACAAAAACAAAAGATACTAGTAACAATAGCGGTGATCATATTATCTTCAGGTGGTTGGTGAAAATGTGCGACCCTAGGCGCTATACCCTGCAAAGATGAAAATATCATTCACTTATAAAACGAATAAGACCAGTAAAACTAGATAGTCACTATCAACTTTTCCCAACCTCAGTCATTGGCCATCTTAATACAACAATCACAAACTCTTCCAACAAGTTTCAGCAAAAAATACTTTGGCAATTCTTTCTATAAAGAGACAGATGTTGAGAAGGTGGCGGCCTATAATGGCTATTTTCCAGGCCCCTAACCAGACTTGATTGTTCGGAAGTATACTTGATCCAGAGGGGCAATGGTGTATGGTGTTTGACTACAGTAGTGGCTACAATTGGCCTGTCGTCAGAATGTTTGGCGGGGCAATACTTTTTTTTAGTTAGCTCGAGTCTATTACATTGGTGTTGGTAAGTTGAAATAATCAATAATCATAATACATTAGCTCAGTTGGTAGCGAGTAGATGAGGTTCGAATCCTGCTCAAGGTAAGAAAAGTACTGATCCTTGTGCCAGTGCTTCCGAGCGTCGGCCCGGTATCGTCCTTCACCCCCTAATACCTAATAGTAATACATTGTAATTACAATTTCGTTTCTATTTTCTGATATTCTCGTCTCCATTGTAATCTTAGGAGTTTTTTTTTAGCGCAGTCCCTTTCTTTTAACTAAATAAAGCGAAATAAAAAATTGTAAGATTAATGGAGACAAAAATATCAGAAAAAACAAACGATGGATTGTAATTTAATTAATATTAATTAGATTCATGACAACTTAGTGAAATAAAATGTAGATACAACAGTTTAAAGCGTAGTCTCACCGGGGGGTGTGACATTGTACCATATCTGTGTGGTTGATGATTTTTCACTAATTCATTATCTCCATGACTACTCTCCTAAATCAAAATAAAATGACATTTTAGTCTACGCATCAATTCAGTTATTAGCTGTCTGTACTGTAACCCTTTTCAAGTGAAAATCAGGCATAGGGTGTGTTTCGATTCTTTGGGTGAGAGGCAGGGTTCAATTTCTACCAAATGTACAAATACTTCATTTAGAATATTTGAATTATCTAGTGGTCAATCGGCTGGGTAAAGTTACATCAACTCATTCAAACGAACTATACAGCGATTGGTTCTCTTTTTAAAAAGTACTACGGGTTTATACAATGTC